AGCACCCCTCTAGTTAGCCAGGGGGAGCTAGCTAGGTTTTTTAGTTAGAGGCTAAAGCAGAGGACAATAGAGCACTGGTAAGTGCACACCCGTATGGGGGCGCACTGTGACCACTGTCTTTTTACCACTGTTTTTTTTTATCACGTGGTGGACTTTAGGATATGTGGAGCTGCATTTGAACTTTGGACAGTTCTCTCCTACACATCAATGCTTTTTTGGGGATATTGTTTGGATTAGATATATGTTATTTAACATTATAATTATTAGTTTATCACTGATAAGTGTGTGCGCCACTTTTTTCACTATCACTGTGGGTTTTTTTTTTGCATTTGTTATTTTGCATAGTGGCAGCAAGGGATTTCATGACATTGATATTTATATTTATTAGTATTTCTATATATATTTTTTTTTTAACAGTTTTTCACTGATATTTTTTATAAAATTTTTTGCACTTAGCGCAATATTTTGTGTTTCTCTATAGATTTTTGAAACAGATATTTATTTAGTGTGCTGTATGTTGCCTGCCAGAGACAGCTGCTACAGGCATTGTGCAATAAGTGAACACTCTAGGAGGGAGAAGGCATTAGTTTCATTCAATGCTGGCGTATGGGGACAGCCCTTTATAGGTTTCATTAAAAATTCTAAATGAACCCTCTGCATTCTGCTATACACCCTTTCTAGGAAACTTTGCATAAAAGCAGGGATTCTTAGTTCACATACATTGCATACTATGTTGCTGTGAACTGTGAGTAGTGCGGCCATCCTGTACCCACTCGAGAGATAATGACTGTACCTGCTCTGGACTATGTCACCTTCCCTGACTGAATAGCACAGACATAGGAATTAAAGGATAAGTTCACCTTTTGGTAAAAAATAATAAATGCACATTTTTTTGCAGGTTAAAAAATGGGCATTTATTATTTTTTGCTGCAGGAGCCTGTAAAGCATTGCATCAGCAGATCTCTGATGCCATGCAGGTCTCCTGCAGATCTGTCAGTATATCTGCTTGCATGGAATTTACGAGCAAGCAGATACACCGACAGAAAGATTCAATGAACTGCTGTGGAGACCATGGTAGTTTATTGAGAACTACAAGCTAAGGCTGTCCGGACTTATAGTTTCTCATTCACAGAGCAGTGACGCAGGCGGGCGGAGCCACATTTTTAAAAATTTTTACAGCTAGTGCGGGAAGATCCCCCACTAGCTGTCAAAGTGGGGAGCGGAGGCTGGTGCTTTCATAACATGTTACATGTTACACCCTCAATATGGGTGCAACATATAACATGCTATGAAAGGTGAACTTATCCTTTAAATTCTGGGGAAAATGAAGGTAGCATGCTGTTCAATACCACCTTCCTTCCACCTAGTTTTGCCACAACTCACTATCATCACAATGATAGCAATTCTAACCCATTTTCACTCTAGCCAAACTAAAAAAATGCCTAGAGATATATTTTAAATGTATTTGACATGCAGCTAGACTAAGTCCCTCTTTGTAATGTACAGCGCTGAGCAAACTATTGGCGCTTTATAAATACTGTATAATAATAATAAGTAACTGAATCTGTCCAGAAATCCGCCTCCTTTAATCCCCAGCACAGCAGCACTCAGATTGGACAAGGGATTGTAATCACACTAAACCTATCGGGACTCTCTTGCTTGCAGGAAACATGCTTACAGGAGGGAAGAGCACAGAAATCACCTTATCAGTGGTCCATTGCTCTCCTCATTGTCCAATCACAGATTGAGACCAATCCTGAACCAAGCTGTGAATGTTAACTGTAGCTTTTAGGCAGGTCCAGAACCTGGCTGTGCATTAGCAGAGATGACATAGCAATTGACATATATGCATCATTACAGTTTATTTTGTTGTTTTCCTGAAGATCAACTTTAAATAAGAAATGTTTCAACATAAAATAATAAACATATGTGTAATGTGTCATTGTTTAATTTTATTGCTGTTATAATGACAGTGTCTGCTCTTATAGGGAGTATTTTGAACAAGCAATACTGGAATTTCCTTCATTATGAGTGGCAGTATCTGACTAAGAATATATGACTACCAATGATGTAATTAAACAGCATCGTACTAAATTATGTAATGCGTTTAAATGTGGACAGGCAATGTATATAAATATTATACATACAGATGATGCAGACAGTTGTTTGACACAGTAGTGTCTTCTAGATAAAATAAACTTGCTGGGAAGAAACTTTAATAAAGGTGTATTATCATAGAGACAATGCACTGGTTGCTACTTTGTTGCTGCTTTGAAAATAAATGTGCTAGGGTTTATGTACACAGGACGTTTGGAAAACACTTCTGAATGATGGAAATTGACTGCTGGAAAACTTAAAAAATGTCTGTTTAGCTGCGTTTGCATACTGCGTTTATGCGCGATTGCTTTTAGAAGCGTTTTTTAAGATGACATCAGGAGAGCTTCCAAAATGCCCAGAATGCACTGAAAAACAGTAAAAAATTAACTATTTCAGACATTTTGAGAGAAATAGAGAGAGCAGAGAGAGCAGTATGTGTTGAGACGACCTGTCTTTTCTGGTTGTATTCACTATGGATCCCATCATGAGCATAATGCAGCACGTTCTACCATTTTTTCCTTCACAAAAAAACCTGGAACTGACTGCGCTGGTGTGCTCGGTTTATTTGAATACATGGAAAACACTTTGCATGCATTTCTGATGATGAAAAAAGGCTCTGGACAGCATCTGCACATGGAACAGTTAAAAAACGTTTCTAAGCGCAAACACTTCTAAACGCGGTTAGCTGCGTTTACATGCATTTACAAGCATTTGGCGTTTGAAACGCTGATAAAATCTACTCCTCAACACAAGTTTGGTGCATAAAAAAAAACTACTGTAAACTCAACTGCCTGTAAAAGACTGTAAACGACAGTGTACATGGACACATAGGAAAACATTAGAGAGAGTTCAGGGGCTGCTGAAAAAATCAGCAGAAAAGCTCCTGAACATCAGTTTATCAGCTGCAGTGTACATGAACCCTTACTGTGCAGTTCTTGGATTTGCATTAACCATCTTTCTTATTTTAACCATTAGCCACCCGGCCTATAGCCGTTTGGCGGCCGCAAAAGTGCTGCAGATTTCCGGGGTATACGTAATTCTTTGCTATAAGCAAATTGTGTAAAAAAAAAAAAAAAATACTGATCACTTCCCCAAAGTAGTACAATGTTACTATGGTAACATTGTACTACTTTGGTCATAGTAAAATATGAAAAAAAAAATCTTAAAAAAAATTAAAAAAAATGTAATAAAAAATTAAATATAATAAAAAAATTAAAAAAAATTAAAAAAAAAATATATATATTTTTTTTTTTCATACTGTCACCAGTCAGTGTTCCTGTTCACCGCCATGCCAGTTATATGATGACGCTGTACTGCACTGGTGACAGTATGTAAAAAAAAAAATAGTGAAAATAATTTTTTTAATTTTTTCATTTTCCGAAAAATTATGACAAGAAAATACAACTTCAAAAAACTCGCCATGCCTCTTATGAAGTACGTCGGACTGTCTACTCTGCAAAAAGGGGTCATTTGGGGATATCTGTACTATTCTGACATTCTTGGACCTCAAGAAATTAGATTGGCTGTCAGTACTTCAGGATTGATCAATTTTCAGATCTATACCATAGTTTGTGAACTCTATAACTTTCCTACAAACTAAAAAATACATCCTACTTGGGGTTATTTTCACCAAAGACATGTAGTAGAATACATCTCGGCCTAAATTTATGAAGAACAATTTTTTATTTGTAAATTTTTATAACAGAAACAAAGAAAAATGTGGTTTTTTTTCAAAATTTTTGGACTTTTTTTGTTAATTTAGCAAAAAATAAAAACCCCAGCGGTGATTAAATACCACCAAAAGAAAGCTCTAGTTGTGTGAAGAAAATGATAAAATTTTAGTTTGGGTACAGTGTTGTATGACTGTGCAATTGTCATTCAAAGTGTGAGAGCGCTGAAACCTGAAAAATGGCCTGGGCAGGAAGGTGTAAAATTGCATGGCTTCATTCATGCAATCCCTTGTATACTACTGCCTAGCTGTGAATGGTCACAGCAGGTCACATGCACATGTCATGTGATTAGCTGTGGCCAAATCACAGCTAAGCAAAAAAAAAAAAAAATCCTGAATGAATCGATGTCATTCAGGTAAATGCTTGCTTATAGCAAAGTAATTCTTGCTAAGTAAATTGTGTAAAAAAAAAAAAAAAATACTGATCACTTTCCCAAAGTAGTACAATGTTAGTATGGTAACACTTGTATTACTTTGGTCATAGTAAAATATGAAAAAAAATCTTAAAAAAATTTAAAAAATGTAATAAAAAAATTAAAAAAAAAAAAAAAAAAAAAATATATATATATATATATTTTTTTTTTTTTTTTTCATACTGTCACCAGTCAGTGTCCATGTTCACCGCTATGCCAGTTATATGATGACGCTGTACTGCACTTGTGACAGTATGTAAAAAAAAAATAGTGAAAATAATTTTTTTAATTATTTCATTTTCCGAAAAATTATGACAAAAAGAAATCCTTTATTGGAATCCTTTACATTACATCTCCAAGACAGGACAGAGGAGCAGTAGACGCGTTTCACACATGCTTAGTAATGTTCGAGCACATGTTCGTGTAAAATGCGTCTACTGCTCCTCTGTCCTGTCTGGAGCTGTCATGTTCTTATCATATTGCATGTAAAGGATTTCAATAAAGGATTTCATTTGTCACATTGTTGTTTGTGCCAACCATTCTGTTTTTCCATTTCATCTTTCTTATTTTAAGCATGTGGTCTCCTTTCAATATTGTTGCAAGTCTTTATTTGAATGATCGTCCTGGAGAGCCAGTGTAACGTACCTGATGGTAGAACCTGAAGTGCAGAGGAAGTGCAGCTCTGGCTCAGGGGCCCTGGTAGAGTAACAGGGAGCGCTGGAGCACAGATGTGCATGAGTGCCTGGTAGGACTTCTGTGGATGGATGTTGACGTGCATCAGGAATGCAGGAGCAGTTGGTGGGCGGCACACAGGCAGAAGTGCAAGAGCAGCTGGCAGATGGCACGCTGGCAGAAGTGCAGGAACAGCTTGGCAGATGACATTCTGGCAGAGGTGCAGGAGCAGACTGGCAGGTGGCAGGCTGGCAGAAGTGCAGGAACAGCTTGGCAGATGACACTCTGGCAGAGGTGCAGGAGCAGACTGGCAGGTGGCACGCAGGCAGAAGCGCAGGAGCAGGATTAGCCGATTCAGGTGCAGGAGCAGAGTAAGGCAAGGTCAGGCGGTCCGTGTCGGCAACTAGCAGGCAGAATAAGGCAAGGTCAGGCGGTCCGGGTCGGCAACTAGCAGGCAGAGTAAGCAAAAACAGCAGGCAGGAGAATGGTCAAAGGGCAGGCCAGGGGTCGGTACAGGCAGCATTCAAGCAGGGTCAATAACAGATCAGCAACAGAATCACAGGTAACAGGATGCACGGGTGCTCAGAAGTATTAGACCTAATGGCACTAATGCAAGGCACTAGCCCAGCTTAAATAGCCTGTCTGGCACCAATGCGCCATCATGCGCACACGCCAACAGGGGTTCTGTGCCTGCACATAGATATGCGCACTCCCTGACAGCCAGACATTGGTGGCAATCTGTCCGGCACCTAGAGGCCTACTCAAATTCAAATTAATTCAAGCTTTGTCTCTGAAGATTCATTTGTCTGCCCCCATTTTGTCACAATGCTCTACATAAAAATGCGCTTTTAAAGGAGTTGGCTCCTGACATGCTATCGAGAGATCTAGGAGTGAGACAGTGCTAAGGGAACTAGTGAGGAAACAGCCCTCAGGACCCCCAAGAGACATTATTGTGATACTTTTTTTACTTCTAAAGAGTATCTTCTGCAGATGACACAACAAATCTTCACAATCATCTTTATCCATTTAAGGCTATGAGTACCAGCTATTTACTGACATTGCACCTTCAACCATGTCCAAGAGATGAACTTAGTCATCCTGAATTGTCACCATATCCTCTATAAATGGGTTTCTTCTTTCACCTGTTCTTCACCTAAAAAGACAGGCAACACTCCCTTTTGATTATAGAAGAAGCTTGCTCCAAGCTAACCGATGTAGGCCTCATGGATGTCAACATTTCCGACACACAACTTCAGGACATCTCTCCAATGCTCCAAGTTCATGCTTATGGTGGTAACTAACTCCCATTGCAATTTGTATACAAAAAGTTCTGATCAGCCAGTTATTATATGGATATGGTTGTGCATCTCTGGTCTACAAAGCTAGCAGAGGGGAGCTGCTGAACTTTAATTGTTTTTGCTTCTGTCCTTGCTTGTGTTTACAGCTGTAATTGGGTTATTACACAGCTTTGTTATAGTCTGTTAGGTCTGCCCACCACACAGAGGAAGAGGATGTGGACTGCTTGAACTGCTGTGAATGATGGGAGGAAATGAGGATTGTGCTAAAGTTCCATACAAACTAAGCTTACTTTGTGGACTGAGCAGAGGAACTACGGATCCCAAAGTCATTAGAGTTCTGGGGAGAGGAAAATGAGGAGGCTGGTTCTTGGGCACAGGAGGATGCAAGGAGAACATTTAAAGGGAGCGTGTGTGTACATTTGGTCACTAGTACAGAGGACACTCCCTGATACCTGGGATCTTTGCTGACACTGACTGAGCCCGCTGACCAGATGATGGAGAGAATGCCTTGGACGCTGTTTTTTTTGAGCCACTGACAGAGAACAGAGAAAGATCACCTGTTGCCACAGGAGTCGGTGAGAGGCCACTGGCCAGCTCTGCTATACCCTGATAAGAGGATCAGCATTTCCTGTGTGGGTCACAGTGCAGGCACCATTACCAATGTTTGGAGGAACGTTATCCTAAGTACTCCAACATCAGATTTGGGCCCCAACGCGCTTGCCAGTGGGAAAAGGGGTTTAAGATAGACTGCTGAACTATTATTGCGGTACTACCCCAGACAGAATTACCCCTAGCATACAGGGTTTAGATATTACTCTTTGTTCCACTTGTTTGTCACAAACTGTATATCATAATTGCCATTGTTTTTACATATTTCCTTTAAATTGTTGGGGTACTGTATAAACATGCAATAAATATGCCCCCTTCAGCCCAGGTGTGTCAGCATGCCTGGTGCTACTTGCAGAGTGTGGGCACAGGAAACGGGACCTTGAAAGCAGCGATTCCTTTGGGGTAATCCACCTTCAGTGTATAAGACTATTACCTATACATACTATGAGTGTATGTTCAGATTGTTGTACTGTTTCTACTCATTGGTTCTGCTACAATAAAGACAGTCCGCCAGCTATGACAAGTCAGAAACTAGTCTCTATTCTTCAATCCCGTTCGTGAAAATATGATGGGGATGATTACATTATGTCCCTATTTGTTATACATGTATGTAGTATTACCCACTGTTATTAGATATCTAAGAAATGATGCAGTTCTTTTTATCATACCTAAGGATTTATGTGTTTCACATACTGTCAGAGGAAAAGACGAGGAAGCCCGGACAAATGCGCCAATGCCCAATATGGCCGCGCTAATTCGTGCAAAAAAGTGCGCTTAGGCACACGACACGTAATCACACATCCCTGTGCACGAAAGTGCATCGGCACACGCAGGGCACGATAATTTATAAGGACTACAGCTCCTCACAATAATTGCTGGATTATCGTCAGCCCCCTGTTCTCGTGTTCCTGTGTGTTACTCTACTGCTGATTATCCGTTACCGACCTGGCTTGACCCTGACCTGCTTTGGCTCTCTTCCTGGTTCTCCACCCCAGTTTGATCCTGACCTTGCTCGTGTCTGCTGCTCTGTGTATGATCCCGGCTTGATCCTGACCTTGCTCCTGTCTGCTGCTCTGTGTATTATTCTGGCTTGATCCTGACCTTGCTCCTACCTGATGCTCCATGTTGACCCTGGCTCTGGCTACTGACTTTGTTTCCTGCTCTACCCAACTACCTGGATCCACATGTCCTCAGTAGGACCTCCTCCTGTATCTGGTCCACCCACGGGTACCTCACCAGGCATCATCAAGCATCCATACCATTGGCAACCCATGCTTCTTTGGGCGCTGCACCTTCTGTTATCACCTTCAGGGGTGCACTGCACTTAGCCGTAAGGGGAGCCCTCTCTCCATACTAGCCTCCAGTCACGTACATGACACATACCTTGATTTTCAAGCCTTTACCCTGCTCTTCTATTGTCCAAGCAATCTTCTTCTAAAAATGTAAATTTTAGTGCAATAAAAAAAAGTTTCACAGACAAATATCACTAATAAGGCTCCAATCACTCTAATCCACTTGCAAACTATTTTCATTGTCATGTGGCAGTGGTGCCACCTACTGTATAAATTGGGTAATGTTAGGTATAAACAAATCACAATCTTTCCCCAAAAATATGATACACTGAAAGTACTGATGTTTTTAATATTTTCAGAGTGAAAAACAAACCATTAAAGTGTTACTAAACCCAGGACCCTGCATTTTCTATATCTGGTCTCCCACAATACACACAACATGGAAATGCTATTATTTTAGTAAATATAAACTGCTAAATACCTTTTCTCATCAGCAGTTACAGCAGTCTTGTGACTTCTATCAGTGTCCAGCAGAGCACTGGTTAAAGCTTGTAAAAGGAGTTTTCATTCCCCTACCACTGCCCTATGAGATTGTATAACCCCTGATCCTCTATCTGGACAGTGCCAATTGGCCCTGTGCTGATCACATGCACCCTCCCAAGAAAAAGAAAAAACTTTCTAGCAGTGCACACCAAACTGAGCATGTGCAGAGTGTTTCCGAGGCTCTATTCTATCAGGAGATGAAATGGGGAATGTGGAAGACGGGGAGGATCAGAGAACACAGGATCAAACATCCTTTTTACACAATGCAGCGGATTAACCCCTTACATTCCACAGTGAGTATAACAAATATGCTTTACTTCATATACAGACTGATTTTACTGTTGTGGGTATAGTAACACTTTAACTTTAAAGTGTGCTTCATTTTTTACAAATGTACATTATAAAATATGGTCTGGGTGATTAAAACTGTATTTTTGGTGAAGAGATCACATTTCCTAATGAGAGCCTGTACTATTGTTATCGACGTCTTACTAGTGTGTACAAGCAAATTTAGAATGAAGTCTGGATGTGTATTCTCATTTATCTAATTAAGTTTTTGCTATCTCTTTTTTTTTTAGATGCATAGGGATTTCAAACCTTACTTCACTGTTCAAGATGCAGAATTCAAGGAACAAACCACCAGAACACACGCATTATAAGTATTCTTTGTTGATTTCCAGCTGTCTGTCTTATTTGTAATTTTAAAGTGATAATTACTAAGTGAATGATTCATATTCACTTTGTTACTACTTGAGTTCTGATTGGTTGTTTAAAAATTGCAAACTCTATTGAATAATTGTTTGCAGGGAGGGGCCAGGGGATAAAATACTATATAGAGATGGTACTATGGGACAGCTTCAGGCATGTCATAGAGCCTACAGAACACACACTGTGTTAACCAAACACTACTTCTGTCTACAATGACACATGAGCGGACCAAGAAATGGTTCAACATGAACCATATTCATTTAACATGCAATGCCAGTTTTTTCCAAGTGATATTTATTGGGAGCTTTTCCAATAAAATAAATTGATGTGTTAGGAAATACTACAAAAAAAAAAAAAAAAAACACAAAAACATTGCACTACTTTGACAATCAGACTGTACAAATAGTAAGTAGGAAGTGGGAGATAACAGAGTGGGTAGGGGATGAAGGGACTTTCACAGCACCATGATTGAACAATAACTGTTAAAATAGAATTTTATTTCTTGATCTTTTTAATAAATATATATATATATATATATATATATATATATATATATATATAAAACAGTATCATACATAAAATGACAACATGGTATATCATTGACAAAGGAAACTGCTTCATCTGTATTAGAGAGAAATATATCTCCAAAATTTGTATAGCCCCAACACATTTCAATTCACAATCTGAATCTTCTTCAGGGCAAAAAGAAGATACAGAAGCTTAATTTGAGGAGATTGTCAACAGATGGTGGGCTGCAGTCAACTGGACTCCTGAGAATTACCAGAAAGCTTCAAACACTACATAGCAAGGTTATCTGAAGCTGAAGGAGATCTGAATGAAGATTGATGCTCATGGTGAGGAAACAGATGTAGTTGAAGTCCCACCTTAGCATCAGTAGTAAGTGCTGTACCTAAGCACACACAACTTAACTCTAATGCACAACAACAATCCACTTTTTTAGAAACACAGAATCAAACTTAAAAAAAAAATACCAAACAGATAGACTCATATATGATAAAACTTCATATCATCC